AAACCCAAGGGTTCAAGTCACTTACTGTCTGTTGGGATCTTGACAAAGGAACTTAACAATGTAAGCCTCAATTTTCTTATCAATATCATAGGGAAAACAGGAATTCTTGCCTGATTTGCTACTGCACAACTGGTATAACATGTAGGTTCTCAGAAATTTTAAAAAACATTTCCTGCATTAATGTACTCTTTCAACAGCAAGTAAGTTAGACAATGTGTTATGTTGTGTCTGCGTTCTGTGAGCTGTCAGTTACCAAGAAATTAAAGTATATACAATCCTTTGTTAGAAAAAAACATGAATTTGTTTAACAGAATTCCTCTCTATAATTTCTCTTTTTACTATAGTGGATTGGAAGAGATGGGGACTAAAATGACCTTTTACTGCTGTGTTATGTGAAAATTAATAAAGGGAAATCTCACTCAAATGGAGGCCAGAACGGGGCGCTCTCATGTGGTACCACTGGAGCTCAGTACAGGAAGGCTTGTTAATGGCAGACCCCCGGGGAAGAATCATCAACAGGAAAGGCATCAAGGCCAATTCCCAGAAGGAGCACGTGTGCATTGCACCTCCTCCAAGAACTGTCCACCCCGACACCTCAGCCAGTGAGAACAGGTCATCATCTTGTTTTCCTCCAATGGACTTTCTTTGAAAACAATCCTTCCCAACTCCCTCCTTTTTCTCTATAAAATAAGGTTCCTCATCTTTGTTTCTTGGACTTGCTTATGGCTTGTGCTAGACCTTGCTTGTCCCAAATTGCAATTCCTCTGCTATGCTTGAACAAACCCACTTTTACTTGAAAAATAACTGTTTAATTTTTAAGGTGAATAAGCAAGAAGAATTGTGGAAATCATTTCTTAGATTGAATATTGATAAAGCTTTGTATATGTTTACAAAGATTTTCTTTTTAATTCAGACTATACTGAGGTGCCAAAATCAAGAAGCATTTTAGCTTTGAAACTAAATAAGTAGAATCGTGCTACGAGATGGCAAAAGATGATCAACAGCTTGCAAAATTGATTCCTGAGAGTTGTCTAGAGTGGTGGTTAAAAATACCACATGCCCTGTGTCTTCAGCAAGTACAAAGTTACCCTGATGCAGATCACGTGTGGGCTACTCAGTAAAACAATGCATGATAAACAAGCATGCTTAGGCTTACAGTTGCCATGAATAGATTTTTAGTGAGAGTCTGATTTAATTACTGCACATAATCCAGCTCTGTCGTGATTGGAATAGCAAATGTTAATACAAAACTAATCCATGGTCAGGATTGTAAGTTGTCTACATGTCAAGGACCATCTTTTCTCTGCTTCTCCAATGCCAGAGGGGCAGGGGCAAAACCTGTCTGAGGTGGGGAGGAGGGTCAGGAGGGAGGGACCTGACCTGGGAGGGACCCCATCCAGCGCCTCAGGGAAGAGTCTGGTGGAGGGGCCTCAGTCCTAAAAAAGACCTCCATCCCCTTCCCTCAGATGAGGTAGGAAGCATTATTCCTTCTCACATGCACAGCTCTTTGCTGCAGCCCCTGACTAGGGACAAACCTGGCAGCCGCCCTGCATCCACAGGGAGCCACAGAGCCCGCCCAGCCCGGGACCAGACCAGCCGCTCTCCCTCCCGCGGAGCTGGCGCCGGAGCCTCCCCGCCTGCAGCGCGGGGGTCTGCGCTGGGGGAGTTCTTGGTGTGCTTGTTGCTAGTCAATGGCAACGTGCAAGGAAGGTCAAGTTTAGGAACAAACTCACGTGGCGCTGGTGATACACCGCGGATCACGTTCTCAGCTGCCCTGGGCGCAGGAGAAGCTCCTCTGGCGTTTGGCTCCTCTGCAAACGGATTCTTCTCTTTTAAAGATGAAAGGTAGGCTGGGTGTTAAAGCCATTCATCCAGTGATGAGTCAGGTTGACCAGAAAGGAAAGCGAAAGGACATGCCCTTTTCTGGGAAGGACAAAGATTGGGTAATATTCTGTTTTCTTTCTTTCTTTCTTTCTTTCTTTCTTTCTTTCTTTCTTTCTTTCTTTCTTTCTTTCTTTCTTTCTTTCTTTCTTTCTTTCTTTCTTTCTTTCTTTCTTTCTTCTTTCTTTTCTTTCTTTCTATCTTTCTTTCTTTCTTTCCTTTTTCTTTCTTTCATTCTTTCTCTCTCTCTTTCTTTCTCTCTTTCTTTCTTTCTCTCTCTCTTTCTTTCTTCCTTTCTTTCTTCTTTCTTCCTTCCTTCCTT